TTATTTGTTTTTATCATTCTGTTGTTGTGTTTCTTGTAGTACATCTTTCTCTTTTTTATTCTTTAAAAAAACTTTAAGAATTAAAAAAAAAAAACTGAGATTGTATTTTTGAGTATTGTCTAAATGCAATTAGAACAATTATTTCTTAAAATTGTCTTTAAATATTTACCAATTAAAGAGATTAAATGTGTTGTAATAATTAATCATAGGTGCACACAAATTATAGAACAAACCCTTGAATTATACAATGTCAATGACTTTAAATTTGTTGCAAATCATTTCACACAAATTAAAATGTTATACATCCCATTTCACCAAATATTTAATTTCCCATATGATTTATTTAATGAAAAGTTACTTATATCATTCACTTACCCAACATCTTCTGGATTTCATTATAAACAACCTAAAACAAAAGGAAAAAAATTGATAACAAGCCATTCATCTCAAATTATTCAACTCATTATAACAAACCATCAGTTAGTATTATCACTAACACAATTCACTAACTTAAAGAAGTTGATAGTCTTTTCTCAACAAATTCAAATTAAAGACTTTTCATTAATTTCTTCAGCGGTTCAAACTTTTCCATCAATTGAGCTTGTAGTTATTAAAGATTCAGAGTATATAGATGTTATGAAATTTCATAACTTTGTTAATACTATCCATTATGAACCTACAAACAATATTAAATACTTAAATGAACTTGTATCATCTCTAAAAGAAATGTGCAAAAAATGCCGAGTCGTAATGGAAATTGATACAATTAACAATATTAAAGAATTTTGTAATATATATCAATTATTATTCAATGAAAAAAACTTTGTATGTTTTGTTCATAAATATATTGAGTTAACTCAAGATCCAATACCATCAAATATTCTTATAGACTTTAATCCATTTAAGATTTATGTAGATAAATTATCTAATACAAATCTTAGTGCTTTGAAAAATTTCATTAAAAATAGGTTGCTCACATCATTAACACTAAAAACACTTTCTCAAGCATCAGACCCAATTAACAAATTTTATACCTTTAATCCCTTTTATTATCAACCAAATGTAGGGGGAATGTATGGTTTTCCATTTCTTAATTTAATTCCAACAGTAAACACTCCTCAACTTCACACCAAAATACCACATATTATTGATTTGAGTGACTGTGACTCACTTTCTTCAATAAGCATTGAATTCACATTTCAAAAATTGACAAAAATTAATGTACCATCTTCTCTTACTCATATATCTATATCATCACTTGATTATGTTGTTTCAAATATATTTGAACAACCTCTCATTTATTTGTCAATTCTTCATTCATTGTTTTATTCAACACTCAAACTTCCACTTACATTAGAAAGGATAGAACTAACAAATTGTAAGTCATTAGAACAACTTGACTTATCTCAACACAACAATTTAAAATTTCTTTCTTTACAAAATATTCCTTTACTCAATAAAATTCTTATCCCTCAACAACTTCATTCATTTGTCCTTTCCAATGTTTCATCACAACTCAAATCTAAATTTGAGATTGATGGGTTGAAAGAATCACAAATAAAAAAATGTAAATTAGAAAGAATGTCAAATCTTTTTAATATTGAAATGCCTGAGTCTTTATTTGAATTATCAATTATATCATGTATCAATTTAAATATTACAAATTTATTTGATCTTTCACTTCCTCGTAAAACAATGTTATTATTGAAAGAATATTCAAATTAAATCATTAATGAATTAAATTTTTTTTTTATTTTTTGACTTTTTATCAAAGTCATTAAGTAAAAAATAAACGATGGTTTAAATTAAATTATTCCGTCCAATATTTTTTGACAACTTCAATGAGATGTTCACAGAATTTAAATGAAGGGAATCCTACAACATTCCAATAAGATCCATCAATTTTTGAAATAAAAGTAAATCCAGTTTGAATACCATAACCACCAGCCTTATCATAACAATAACCACTTTCTATATATTTATTAATAAAAGCATCAGTCATATGACCAAATTCTACTTTAGTACGATCATCAAAAACTTGAGTTAATGGTTTTCCATTGATTTGAATTTTTGGATAAACAAGGCAAACCACAGAAATTACTTCATGAGTATTTCCACTTAATTTATGAAGAATCTAAGAAGTATTAGAAAATTATTTTCAATAACTTTTTATCTTTTTAAATCAAAAATGATATCTAAAATCATAAAAATAATCTTGTAATCATTTCTAAAATATGATAAAAAACAAACTCTTGAGGCATCTTCTGCATTTTTTGGTTTCTCAATAATCTCATTATTAAATAATACAATAGTATCACATCCAATAATCAAATCAGCATCTGGATATCTAGAAGCAACATCCATTACTTTTCCTTCTGCATTTGCTTTGACATAATCAACTGGGTCTTTAAATAATTTCTTATCTAAATTTTCTTCAAAGTTACTAACATGAATTTCAAATTTTAATTCCATTTGTTCTAAAATTTCCTTTCTTCTTAGTGATTGACTAGCAAGAATAATTTTCTTAGAATTTATTGTATTTAAATATTCCAACAACATTTACTTTTGATTATTATGTTTTTGTTGTTATTTGTTTTAAAGATTCTTAATAAACCCTAATTGTTTCTTATTATTATTATTAGCTAATTGAATCTTCGGTTTTTTTTGTTAACATTTGAAATAATTCTTTCTTTTTTTTACTTGTTTCTTCCTCAAGATTTGAAGTTGACATATCAGAGATACATTACACAAACATTAAAATGAATATAAAATAATGTCTGAATGTTGTAATTATTAGCTGATTATGACGTTGTCTTTTAATAAAAAATTTATGAGTCAACTTTTCAAATGTTGTAAAATGAGATATTATGATTGAATATTATTTGTTATAATAGAATAAATGGTATTGATTAAGATGAAATTAGCAATAGACGTGTAGGATTATCAAATAAAAAAGATATCAATGATAAAGTTAATATTAAATGAAATTAGAAATAAAAATATAATGATAATGAAATATTCATTTATAAGAAAATAAGAAATAAAGATGAAGTTCATTAAAACTAAAATCAAAATTAAAAAAGAAGAAATAAACAGAAATAAGAATGAAAATACATTAAAAGACGTTAAAAGACA